TCTAAGATCAGCCAGAATCGGGTTTTGTTCATAACATTTTTTAGTAGGTATATAGCCCGATTTTAAAGTGTTACATACACATCGTTGAAAGAGTCTTGGAAATTTTTATGCATCATATAATTACCATGTTAACCTACATACCTCGGTCAGTAAAAATAAATTATCTCAAACTCCACACGACCGAATTCGAATTTAGTTCATGATGTTAATCAACGGGATTTTTTAGCCATTCTGCCAAACTGCATACCCAAAAATGTTCTAAAGATTCAGATTGAAAAACTGAAATTTTGATGAAAATTTGTTGAGTTTTCTAAATTTTGTATAAACTTTGAAACTGCTATTTATATGGTTTTGGTGAAAGCACAGAAGGTATTTTTATAGAAAATTGACAGAAAAAAAATTGCTCGAAAAACATTACGAATATTTCAAGAACATATGTACACATATGTACCTCGAAGGTCAATGAAATCTAAGAAAAGTTAAAGATACGAAATATAAATGAATGTACATATGTATGTATATCAAATAATAAGAGCCTTGTAAGTGCATTCAATTTAAGTATTATGTAGAGCCGCATAAATGTTTTTAAATGTTGAGGTATTCTTAAATACAAAAAAGCAACACGAATTTTATTTTGTTCAAACCCGAAAATTTCAACTCAATCCATGAAGGCAAGAAAGTCAAAGTAAATCAAGGTGAGCTTATTATCATTTTATTTTGGCTTGTCTTCAACATTGTCGTCGCACTGACCAAATGTTCAAATGTAAATATTGTATTGAAAAAATGACAATAACGAAAATATGTGTAGACAAAACCACGCGCGCTACTAACAAGTCATCAACACCGCCAAATGAAGAGACTTCAACGACCTTTAGTGCGACATGCTAAAAAGTTTCAGTTCGGATATGCTGCTTTGCTTCTTTTACTCCGTACTGTATTTGTTTTGAACTTTTTCTTACATACATACATACATACATACATACATATATGTACATAAATATTTTTTCTTGGCATCGAATTGGCAATTTGTTGTTGGTTTCAGCGTATCAAATTATAAAGTATAATAGCGCTAAATGCAACAACAGCAATGCCAAATTACGATGCATTACATGTAAAAAAGCGATTGAATTTTGAAGGCGACACATGTATGTGTCTACATACATATGTACATAAGCTTATGGTATATACATACTTACGTGCTCATATTTGATATTTTGGAGGTCTATACATATGTACATATGAATGGTATACTTAAGCGTGCCCAACAAATCCGCTAACGTTATGTACAGATTCTATTGAGGGATTCACAAGGTGCTAAAACATTTTTAAGTGATTCACAACAACCAAAAAAATGTTAAATGTTTTATAATTTATTACTCTGGGCCAGTTTACACTTAGATCATGTAAACTGCGTTTATTTATATTGAACAGCTGGCATTGGCTAATTGGCTAATCTTAGTTAAAAATAGCCGGCTGGAGCGTTTAAGCTAAGTTTAAACCACAGTCGTACACTGAAAAACTGACCTTTTATGACAATATGACCGTTACAACACCTTGTGCATCCCCTTAATCTACACTTTTGGTCAGCAGTTAAGTGACATGTTGACCAGTTTTGGCTATTTTTCTTCTGTTTATTTAATGTTTATCTAAATTTTTTTTTATAAAAGTCTAGCGCATTACATAAACAGCACCATATAAATCCACATTTCAAACTTCGTACAGAAATTAGACAAACTTTAAAAGTTACACCCCAGAAATTTTAAGTACACAGTTTTATAAGGAATAACTCCACTCATTATATTTGGTAAACCAATAATTATGGTGCGATTTCGGTCATATTTAGAAAGCTTGCTTTAAAAATATTTGTTTTTACAATTAACTTATTTTTAATAATATTTTTCGACAATTTCATTTAAAGGGAAAAAATGCCGCCAGCAAAAAAAATACTAAAAATCAACGCGTGCTAAAATTTGCTTTTGTGCTACAAAAATTTAATGGGCTTTAAAACTGCCTACTTAAAATTTCTCAAAAAGTTCTGTATAAAAAAGTCTAAAATTTTTGGGTGTAATTGGTAAGGTTTATTGAATTTTTATATTTTTTGCCCGAAGTTTTAAATGCTGATATGGTGCTGATTATGTAATGCATTGGACTCTTATAAAAAAAAATTATAAGCATTAAATAAAATAATAATAAATTGCCGCTTACACATACGTTAGTGTTTGGCCGAGCTTCTCCTCCAGTTTGTGGCGTGCGCCTTGATGTTGTCACACAATACAGTTTTACACTGAATCCGAATTGTATTCTTATGAGAAGCTGTTTTTCATGGCAGACCGCTATTCGAAAAAAAGCCTCTTTTGTTTTTTTTTTAATAAACAAAAGAAAAAAGCTAAAACTGGTCAAAATGTCACTTAACTTAATCAGCTGACCACAGAAGTATGTATAATAGGGTTGTAAAAAAAAAAATGCGCGAAAAAAGTTTCAAATGTCTCTTAAGGAGACTTCCAATAACAATACTAAATTATTTAGTTATCCATCGTTAGTATTAAAATATGCAAAATAAACAATGGGGTATTATTATTGGAGGTCTCCTGAGGAGAAGCTGAGTTTTCCTATCGAAAAATATAGATTTTCAAGAATTCTATGCCATTCTACTATTATACTAAAAAGTGTTTTCCCCATATGAAATACATGTAAATCCTCGTCGGTTTCGAGGGAGTTCGGGGGTGAGAGCTTAACATATATTAAGCTCTTATTTTGGACCACCCTAATGTACAATCATGTGATAAAAGTGAAACCTTCTGCTTTTGAGAAGCGTTATGCAATAATGCGTGCGTTTACATAGTTTGTACAAACATACAAACGTTGCATATGTACATACTTACATATTATTATTCTGTTTTTCCACAGGCCCCAGATCATCTTAAATTCAATCCTTACATTCGTCGAGGCTATCGCACATTCCTCTCCACAAAATTATGCCTGCAAAGCATCTTCTGGTGGACCAATGAAACTGTAAGACAAATCTAATGCCATAAATATGTACATACATATGTACTTACGAGTAAAATGTTAAGCACATACATAGATACATATTTTCACAACTTAAATTTCTTACAGATAAACATTTGGAGTCACCTCTTTGGCTGTCTACTGTTTATCGGCTTAACCATAGTGGATTTCCAATTTCTAAAACTACACGCAGATGTCAGCGATCAAGTTTTGGTTGTTTGCTTGCTGGTCTGCTTCTGTCTTTGCATGCTGCTCTCATCCATTTATCATATTTTCTCCTGCAAATCGGAAGAACATTATGATTTCTTTTTATCGGTGGACTTTCTGGGCATTTCACTGTCGCTGGTGGCGATCTATATAAGCGGGATGTACTATGCGTTTTGGTGTTTTCAGGTGAGATAAACACATCGGCGTAGCCAGAATGAAATTTAGGAGGGGGGGCCCAGGGTACTATTTTATATATATATAAGGAAAGTTTGAAAGTTAGGGGGGG